CCAAAATACCACCATTCGTTCAGCTCATTTATATTATCTGTTTGGATCATCATTTATACATTTCACAGCAGAAATTGTGGAGATAGTCGCTCGAATGAATTAAAGCTCCAGCTTGAACTTGATAGTAGTTGGTAAAGTTCAGAAGAAACCTTTTACCCCTATATGTAACTATAAATATTTACTAATCTTCTCCAATGTACTCCTTTTTTAAAAATTATAAAGATCAGTGGCTCTCTGGTCAGGGGGGAGTGGGAAATGTCGCCCGCACGCATTTGCGCTGTGGTCAGTTAACGTACCATGAGAATAGTGGACGTGGAGCTCGAAATCCGCCATGTTTTTGCGGACACTTTTCATTTGCGAGCACGGTCTCCAGATATATATAGTAGAGCTCAGTGGTTTACACCTAAAAAAAACATGGCGGAAAATGTTTCAAAAAAGGTATTTTTTATCTACATTCTATAATAATATATAAATATTATTGCATTTTTACTTTTACATGTTTATATCATTCATTAATATGATATTTTTGTATGACGTTTTCCTGTTTTGTATTGAATGCCAAAATACGCAATCTTGCTTTTATATATGACTCGATATTATATTGAATTAGCAATTTCGCGAGGCCTTATAATTTGAATATTTGATGCACTGAGGTTTGATGCCTAGAAATGCCTAGTGCAATTGGGGGGGGGGTATATTTTTAAATTTTAATCTATATAGTTGAACAGGGGGGTCATTTTTTCATTTCCAAAAAATATGGGGGGGTGCATATTTTATTGATGTTTTTAAAAAAACCACCGCCCCCCCCTGAGACGTAATAAACGATCGGTCCCTAAGTTTAAATGACTGGCGTCACTGCTCAAATGACAAATATCGAAAGAAAAACTCCATCAAAATAAATCTGAAAGACATATTCTATTAAACAAAACTATTAACTTTTGATTCGAAATACTTGTATGGGGAAAAATCAAATCTTCACGCCTTCATGTTGTTGGAGTGCAAATTCTTACAAATCTAAGTAAATATTATATTGTATAACAATAACAAATTAGTATCGTTTTGATTCTGATTAAAAACGGCTTAAAATGTTTAAAATCACTGAGCATGATTATTTAAACAAAACTAACTGGTATTTAATGACTTGCATGTTCTTGTATGATATATTCAGTTAGTTTTCGTCCCAAATTGTCTTGATCTTGTTTCATTGCATTAGCAATTATTGGCGGTGCATGCACGCACGAACTGTCAAAGGTTTATGAATTGCGGACTTCTTGTACGGCGCGTAAACAAGAATGCCCACAAATTTTATTTCATAAGTATGTAAGCTAGTCTTAGTACATTTGAGCAATATTAGGAATAATTCCAGGTTAGGTCCCACTTTTGAGAAAATCGCTTTTGATTGTAGGTACTTTAGCGCCAAACGCGTTTCGGAATTTTAGTATTATATTCTTAAATTCTTATATCTCAGTGAAAATGTTATAAAATTTTATGGTTAAAAAGTTAAATTATAACTTAAAGTTATAAAATTGACGTGTAAAATTTTTAGCTGAGTTAAGAAGGAAATAAACTTTTGGTGGCGCCCGATATGTATAGCTTAAACACAGCTTTCCCGACAGTCAATTTGCTAGTTTTTGAGGTGTCATCGAAAACCGTCTCTCGTAAAGTACGTATAAATCGTTATTGATCCAAATAAACGTGATATTTGTTCCTTGTATATAATCGTTAACTTTTACTGAGAAGATCATGAAAATTGGCGATGGGCCAAATTTTGCCTTATCCGTTCTTACGTGGACTGCCTCTTAATTACTGTACAAAATTTCAGACAATTTGGTTTAGTTTAAGCCCTTTAACTATTCATTTTGTTCTAAAAAGTCAGCCTTTCGCATGCTTAATTAATGCCTTTATCTAATTTGCATATTGCTGACATATGCAAATTAGGCAAAATTGTCCAAATTGTCTGAAATTTTGTACAGTAATTAAAATCCCGACAAATGTTCCATCTGTTAACTCAAAATATGATTACAGCTTTTAAATTTTGTGCGCGAGCCATTTCTAGTTTGTTGGAAAAGACACACCCCCCTGGTTCACAAAATTTCAGTTCGAGAAATTTTTTTCATTATTTTACATTATAAGTACCCAAAGAAGCTATATATATATATATATATATATATATATATATATATATATATATATATATATATATATATATATATATATATATATATATATATATATATATATATATATATATATATATATATAAAACCAGATACAAATAGCTGTTTTGCGAAATTGAGAGCAATTTTAAATCTGTTCAGTTTTTTTTGATACACCCTGTATACAATGTTATATACAAGACTATACAACACTATATAAGGCTATATGACACTAAATGACACTACAGTGTTGTAACCAATCTCGTACCCAGAGCAATGCCTGTGCGCGGGCTAGGATGGCATTGGCTCTGGGGAAATTGAATTTTTCCTGTGCTGTGATTGGTTTAACGTCTATCAATCATGCATGCCGACAAAGAACCGGAACCCCAGAATTTAGGGGTTCCGGTTTCAATTTCCCCAGAGCCAATGCCATCCTAGCCCGCGCACAGGCATTGCTCTGGGTACGAGATTGTGTTGTAACAGTATACAAGACTATACAACACCATATAAGGCTATACGGCACCATACGACACTATACAACGTTATACAAGATTATACAACAATATATAAGGCTATACGACACTATACATATATATATATATATATACATATATATATATATATATATATATATATATATATATATATATATATATATATATATATATATATATATATATATATATATATATATATATATATATCTTGTATATATATATATATATATATACAAGAATAGACAGTTTGGCAACCTAGAACGGCAACGAAACGGCAACGGGGAAAACATAATTGCTTATATAGTGTTGTATTTGAGCTAAAGTTACGTTACTACACTTAATTTGCCTCTTTAAGTATTCCTGTTTCTTTCAAACGTACCCTTAAGTAAAAATAGTCCACGAAATCAAATAAAACACCTCAAATAACATCGAACGAATTAACTGTTGCCGTAGTCATGCACCGTGAAAATGTGCAAATCACGCACTAGTTTCAACAACTACGGCATTGCACAACGCTTAAGACCATGTAATTAACATTCGCCTTTGTCTTTGAGGATTAATGCTATTGTTGATGACCATATTGCCGTTGCCGTTGCCCTTGTATTTGCCAAACTCTCTAATAGTGTGCGGCATGTTGTAAAACATGGACTGGACCTTGGATTGGACTGGACTTGTAAACTATGGACTGGACTTGTAAAACATGGACTTGTAAAACATGGACTTGTAAAACATGGACTTGTAAACATGGACTTGTAAAACATGGACTTGTAAAACATGGACTTGTAAAACATGGACTTGTAAAACATGGACTTGTAAAACATGGACTTGTAAAACATGGACTTGTAAAACATGGACTTGTAAAACATGGACTTGTAAAACATGGACTTGTAATAGAAATAACTTAGACACAAAAATGTATCTACTATTTTCCGATAGGGCGTTAAATTTAGAAGCATTTGCGGGCATTTCAGAGACCTAAATTTCAACATTTTCCCGGGGGACATGTCCCCAGACACCCCAAGCGATCTCGCGCCTACGGCGCTCGCATAAACCCCACCAATCCCCAAAATGCTCCGTGGTCTCTATAGAAAATGCATGCCATGCAAATAGTGGAAGTTTTTTTTTGTCAAAATGCATGTTAGTTAAAAAACTATTTAACATAGATATGCAAAAAATGATTAAATATTTTCGAAGTTAAATTATGTTGATTCGGTCCAATCGATATCTATTTCGTTATTGTCTGTCCAATTCCGGGGGCAAAATAAGGTGGGGGCAGGGGCAAGCGAGCACAGCAGAATAATTCGTGTATTTTTACCTGTTTCTCTATATAGGTGTATACATATAGAGAAACATATGATCGATAATAAATTCGCTCGAAGATCAAGTCCATGTTTTACAAGTCCATGTTTTACAAGTCCATGTTTTACAAGTCCATGTTTTACAAGTCCATGTTTTACAAGTCCATGTTTTACAAGTCCATGTTTTACAAGTCCATGTTTTACAAGTCCATGTTTTACAAGTCCATGTTTTATAAGTCCATGTTTTACAAGTCCATGTTTTACAAGTCCATGTTTTACAAGTCCATGTTTTACAAGTCCATGTTTTACAAGTCCATGTTTTACAAGTCCATGTTTTACAAGTCCATGTTTTACAAGTCCATGTTTTACAAGTCCAGTCCATAGTTTACAAGTCCAGTCCATAGTTTACAAGTCCAGTCCAGTCCAAGGTCCAGTCCATGTTTTACAACATGCCTATTGTCAGTCGTATTGTCAGTCATATTGTCAGTCATATTGTCAGTCATATTGTCAGTCGTATTGTCAGTCGTTTTGTCAGTCGTATTGTCAGTCGTATTGTCAGTCATATTGTCAGTCATATTGTCAGTCATATTGTCAGTCATATTGTCAGTCATATTGTCAGTCATATTGTCAGTCGTATTGTCAGTCATATTGTCAGTCATATTGTCAGTCATATTGTCAGTCATATTGTCAGTCATATTGTCAGTCATATTGTCAGTCATATTGTCAGTCATATTGTCAGTCATATTGTCAGTCATATTGTCAGTCATATTGTGCCCTTATCAGGGCTGCACCGGATTTCAATTCCTGTCGGAATTCCGGCCGGATTTGAGGAATTTTCCAAATCCCGGTATCCGGCCGGATTTTTTTCTCAATCCGGCCGGATTTTCCGGATTTACGTTTTCATCAGCTTGCCTAAAAACATCTTGATCAGTTGTCTCACGAGTTACGATCAAAATTCAAAACTGACATTACATAATTACAAAAAAAAATTTCCTTGGCTTTACATATTTCAAGCTGTTATTGCCATATTCGGAATGTTTTTTTTTCCATATTCAAAATGTTTTTTCCATATTCAAATTGTTTTTTTCCCATTTGGTTTTGAAAACATAAGCCCGCCATTTTGAAAAACTAAATTTTCTCAATTTATCCCCAATTATCCTAATTTATTCCAAATCCGGCCGGAATGTTTGTCCAAATCCGGCAAATCAGGTTCCTACCTGATTTGATAATTCCAAATCCGGGGCCGGTTGTATAAAAAAGTGATTAAAGTTATAACTATGGTTAAGTGGAAACGTCATCCAATAAGAAGCACCTATTTGAGAGTTAATCACTATTTAACTACAAAATAGTGATTAAAAAAGTGATTAAGAGTTTTATACAAGCGGCCCCAGGTGCACCCCTGCCCTTAATCAACTGTAAACCATAACAACCTAACTTGGAAAGTGCAGTCGCCATGCCTACGATGATTTCCGAATCTTTCCATGATGCAGTTGACCATCAAAGGTGCTATATACTCACCGTCTATGGTTTCAAATCCGCAATTCTGAATTGAGTATATGCATGTAAATATGTATTTTATTTCTTGTATAGTCATCGTGACCTGAAACCTGAAAATCTTTTACTCGATGAAAAACATAACATAAAAGTCGCCGATTTTGGAATGGCCTCATTACAGGTAAGATTGTTATTGAAATTTTCATGACTGGCTCTTCGAAAAACTAATTTATAGTACAGTGTGCACTGTACAGTATATAGATAGCTATTACTCACTTTTTAATACATACAGTATATATTCACAGTATCTAACGTATCTTTCACTTCTCATCAATATAATTATAGCAGTATCACTGTACAGACATACAGCAGCTGGGAAATTTGTTGCGCATGCGTCAACTCTAACTTACATGGAGACCACGCAATTATTATCGCGCGTGGTGCCGTGGTGGCGGGATCTTTAAATTCGTAAACAAAAACATGTCCGGCAAATTTTTTATCTGTGTCTTGTTTCTTTGGCTTGTTTTGAACGCTGTTTTTGCAGTTCCAAATAAAAAGAACCTTTATTGTGCCGTGTGTGGCAAATGCTGCAAACAAAATTTAAATACTACAAGAAATAGCCTTCCACAAAGCGCTCTTCTGGAGAGTTGCTTCGGTGTTTCGTGCGAATAGACAGGGATATTATGTTCTACTTGTCGAAGAGCTTTGTATATATACAGAACCACAGGAAAAACGTCCTTTCAGGTAATTTTTTTACAACTTTTAATAAGCCAAGTGGCATGTAAAATTTTACAATTTTTAATAAGCCAAGTGGCAAGTAAAACTCAAATTATACTAAAAAGCACAGTGCCCAATTTGTTTTGGTTTTATTAATATGCTAGTTGGATAAATCAAATAAAAAAGATAAAGCAGGAAGACCAAAGAAAAAACATCGAACTGTCCCAGCTAGAATTTCGTCGGACAACAATAATGAGGGATGGGTGGCAGAAGACACATGCTTTGGAGTGTTACAGAGAGGGGCCAATGGAGAAGTGCTTATGCCAGCAGAAATGTATGATGATATTCAGATGCAGTTCAACTCCATGTCCGGAAGTATGTACATACTGTACTGTACATTACATTACATGCACAAAATGTAAACGTACTGTAACAATACTCCATGAGTAGGGAGGGGGTACTTGCCCTAGCTGGACTACATGCATGTTATAGCAACTCATGTTGTGAGCTCCTTGAGTGAAGGCTTTACAAATTGTGGTCAAACCC